GCCGTTATTGTCATGTAGAGTGAAGTTTTCTACTGTGGAGGAGAGAATGCATATGTATTTGTTCATTTTAAATTATTTTTTTTATTAATAAAATTTACATTTTATTTATAATTTCAGAGCTTCTTACTTTTTTCAGACAGAAGTGTGCAAAGATGAATCATTTTAGCCTTTTAGGAATAAATAAATTCAACAATTTTTAATTATCAATTCAGTTATAAGTTTTATGTTTTACACCCTTTACTGTACCGATTATAAAGTCAAGGCTCATTAGATCAGAGAGAAGAGCATACTCCTATAACAATCAAATTAAAAAAGGGAAAAAGAAAAGCATGAAAAAGAAAGGAAGCAAGAAAGCATGAAAGTCGAATATTGTCAATTCAACCATTAATTCATCGACCAAAGCATGAAAAAGAAAGCATGAGATAAAAGTGAAATGCTTTCATTTCAACTGCCATGTCGTTGTCTTTTGACGAAGTCGGATCACAAATCAGTAAAGAAATTGGCAAGCGTTTCAAAAAGAGAAAAAAAAAAAAAAACTAAAGAAAATATAATGTATTTTATTTATATATACGGTAACTTTTTGATTCAGTGATTCAGTGGTAAGGGGTAATCTTTTTTCATGCTACATGTGGAAAAAAAGACATCATCTCTCATATAATTGAAAATGAGAAGTGCTCTAGAGTTTGAGTTGCATTGTATTGGAGTCTAGATTACATGAAGTTTACATGGAGTCTAAACTACAAAGTGAAAGATTCATTTAAAAACATGAACATGTAAAATAAGAAACCCATTTGAGAGCATGAACGTGAACAAGTTATGAAGTGTTAGTTTTTTAATTTTAAGGATTGTATTTATTAGCAAATAAATAAGTGTCGTTTTATATATTAAGTACATGGTTTAATTCTTGAGGTTAATATTTAAACACATTAATTTTTTTGAATATATTAAGTCGATATAAAAAAATTTAATTTTAAAATGTATGAAAACTTATCTGAAAACACTTTAATAATAAATATTAAAAAAATTATATAAAAATTACAACACCAAACCTTTAATAAATCTTTTTGGTTTGTTGATTTATTGAAGTTGATTAAATTTTTTCTTAATCATTCTTAACATTTCATTCTCCGTAACATCTTAATTACAGAGAATAACTGATTTTATGCAATCCTAAAAAAATAGTATTAGTAAACTATTTTTTATTATACAATCTAAAATTAAATAATAATAATAATAATAAAATCTTGTTAAACAATATGAGTAGTGATCACCTTAAAATAATTGAACCATTCCGCCGTTATCCTACCTTTTTATTTTTATTTTTTTGTTTGTTTTGGTATGAACCTCCAGATATTCGATAATTACATTTGTTTTTGATTAATTTGGAATCGAACCAGAGCAGACCTCATTAGTGAGAAAGTTCTCCCAGCACCTGTTTTTTCATTCGTAAGATTCAAATTCACTACCTTATTTAAGAAAAATTGAACTCATTTTACTCAGATTAACAAATCGTTGGTATTATTATCATACTTTCGTGAAGTTCAACTCTTGCTATGTAATTTCTCTATTTTATTATTATTAATTTTTTAGAAAATGATTAATAAGATTTCTTTTTATTAAAAGAAAACAAAGTTATTGCAAAAAGAATCTTTAGCTCCCAAAAGAAGCAATATAGCAATATGTTATTCTCATATGCTAAGATTAGTAAAGTTCTCTTAAAACACGAATGTTTGTTTCAGTTCAGTGATATTGAATCCTAGGTTAAAATCGTTCACTTTTTGTGGGTTGCATGTTCAAACTTCACGGAATTCTTTTCTCCATTCCTTTAATTAATGTATAAATAGTTGTAATCTGTTGAAAAAAAAAAAACTCTCTTAAAACACAAAATAGCCTGCAAAATTGATAAAATTAGAAAAAGAAACGCTAACTAAAATGTGAATGCCTCCTTGCTACTCATCTACCTTTTGAGTATTAATTACATTGCCATAGCACATCTGATACCATAACAACTTAAGCCAAACGATAGTCCTTTAGTTTGGATTGTGGTCCATATCAGACCTATCATCAGGCCCAAGGAAATCAAAACCATAAGCACCTATTAAAGCATCTCCAAGTTCTTTATCAAAATGAAATAGACCACAAATTCTAGCCATGTTGGACCAAAATGTAGCACAAACAGTGACCAAGCTCGACTCACTAAGCTCGATCGGCTCTCCGAACAGAGCAGAGCTTGGTTAAAAAAATTTGCCTCACAAAGCTAAAAGACAATGCCATGTTGCCCATTTTTGTAGTTGGTCCAGCCACAAAGTTGAACCACCTAACATGCGCATGTGCACAATTGCACATGTCAGGTGGTGGTAGGCGCTTGCCTTGTCTGTCACCTCAACCAAACCATTGGCTTTTGAATCCAATAGTTGTCAATTGTTTTTTTTTTTTTTTTAATTTATTTTAATTTAATTATTTTATTTAAATATATAAAATTTGATTAGAATAAAATAATAATTATGTAATTTTTAAAAAAGTTTTGTTTTAAATCTACATTAGAGAAAAGTGTTTTATTGAGTGTTTTGTTTTATAATTTAATATATAAAAATATGAATTTATATAAAATAATATTAATTTTGATGATACGGAGACCAAAATGAACTTTTGATATGTCATGCATTGTATATGGTTTTACCACCTTCCTCCCTCTCCTTGTGTCAATAGCCATTGGATTGAACTCCTTCCTCTTTCCACCATTAGCTAATATTTCCTTGCCATTTACGTCATTTTTAGTTGAGCTGCTACCAACTCTCTTTCTTCTACCAATCTCCTCACCTTCCCTTTTACTACTAAACAAAAAAGCTAACATTAGTGAAGTAGAGCCTTGAGCAAAGGGTCCCAACACCCCTTTGCTACTATTCTCTTTTCGTCAAAAGCAAACATCTATCTCTTCCTTAAAGCAAGCAGTTGAATCAGTAGAGCTTTCTACTCTTTTTGCTCACTATTTCTTCAAGAGGGAGATCTATTGGAGCTCTTAATGATAGACCATCCCTAATTATGGATTATACCACTCTACCAACCTCTACCAGAAGAAGCTTGTAGCCACACCCCATATTTATGCACAACCTTACAACCCTCTTTAAGCAATTTAATTTTAACCGGGCAATCTTTTTCCACATGATCCATAGTTCCACAAGCGTAATAGAAATTTCGTAACCTTTCGCACTTAACCTGACACTAAATAGTCTCACTAAATGATAACTGCACCCTAGCTGCCCTTCTCAATGACCGCCTAACATCAACCATAACTCTAACTCTCAACACTAGTCCACAAAGCATATCATTTTCATCCAAATCAACATCTAAAACAGTATTAATAAATTCGCCCAAAAATCTGCCCATAGGTTCATTAATCAAATCAATCTTAAAAACTAAAAATGAATCTAGAATAGCATCTAGAAAACTACTCTAGCTATCCAATAACCTTATGATCATCATACTCTGTTAGAACCGTGAGGCTTTTATCATTGAAGGCCAACAGAGCTTTCACCAAACACTCAGTCCCATTCCCCTTCATCCATAAGAACAAATATGAATATATTATCACCCAAGGGGTGAACTTGCAAACCCCTTCTAACCCTCCAAAGCCTAGTCATATGAGCCTAAAACCAATAAGATTCACATGTCTCCTGGAAAACACTTTGCTCACCAAACAATAGCAACTGACCAACCCTGACTTGCTGTCCACTGAACTCAACACCTTGATGTGTCCCTGTTCCTCCTCCATTAGGGTCAGTCTGGACCATAAGGCCCCGATCTCCTCAACCATATCACCACACGCAAGCACCACCCATAAACACCATTGAATCCATAAGCTAGCCACCACCCATTTGATCACAATCAACCCACTAGAATCAACCCTTGCCTCTAATAGACCCTAGCACCCATAGTGCTTGCCAGTAGAAACCACTGACTGCACCGCCCACCAACTCCTCCACTAGACGCTACCCTCAGCACCAAAGAAGAATTTAGCAAAACAACACCGAATTAACCTTCCCTCTATATCGATAATTCTCGATCTCCCACCCCTTCATATAAAGCTAGGAAGAGAAGAGGATAAATATATCTTGATAAAGCCCCTATGTCAGCGATACGAAGGGTTTGGGAAGAGCCATTGTGTTGGAATTCAGAATTAAATCAGAGCAGAGGTTTGGTCTTGTATTTTCTTTGTGTCTACCTGGTCAATTTGGTTTATGAGGAGTTCAATTCTACATAATTCAAGCTCTTGGGATGAGGTGGCAGCCTTTGAAATGATACAAAAAGAAGTGCTTTTGTTTGGCTCTGTGGGAAGATGGAGGGGATGTATTTGAATTCTCCCAGTGGCTCCTTAATCCTGAACTTTTGCATTAATTAGATGGCTCTCAAAATTAGTTTTTCTTCGAATTTTATTGCCTAATTTCTCTATTTGTTAGACTAAGATCCCTCTTTATGTAAGAAAATTACTCTCATGTAAATCTTATACATATACTTAGGTATCTTTTATGATCAATATTAATACATTTTGACTTGTGTAAGAAAAAGTAATACCAAGGGTTAAACTTCCATGTTTCCTAGAACCCTAGTTGCCAGAGATAGGTGTCAGTTATTGCAGTTTGTCCATTGAGCAGGTCATGCTACCTTGTAAGTTTGGTCCATTTCTGGCGATAGCAGGGTACGTACATCTTTTGTATTAACAATTTGGTCCCGTATGGTGTTGACAACTTAAGTTTCAATTCCAAGAGTTTCTTTCGCACTCTGGGCAACGAATCTTCAAGCAATGCCTGTGACTCTAGGGGCTTCGAATCCATGTGGACTCTAGGTGGCAAGAATACATATATATATATATATATATATTTCTCCGATCTTGCTCTTGGGCTTTGTTAATAAAATAGCTAGAGTAGTTGCCTTTATTTACGTTACGTTTGCATGACATCTTCCTTTGTACTTCATCGCTTTTTAGGATGGAGGCGACAACCTTTTACTGCTACTTGATCCCTTATATGTAGAGGTAGGAACCTAAACTAGTTCTTTAATTTCTAGTAAGGGACTTGTTGATCCCCACCTTGCTGATCAGTTAATAAACAAATAATTTTTCATAAACTCTAGAATTTTAGTGTGTCAAAAATAATGGTTATAAATTAATATGAAGACATTTTATTGTTAAATAATAAAATTATATAAAAAATTTAAAATTTTTTATTTTATAATTTAAATTATTTTAGATAATAAAATAAAAATTTTTAGATAAAAAGAGAAATTTAACATTAAGAGTCTCATCTTTTATTTAAAAGTTATTGTTTTAAAATAATTTAAATTATAAAATAATTTTTCAAAAAAAAACTATTTCTTCAATTTTAAGGTAAAATCTTAAATAATAAACCCATCATGCAACCTTTAAAAAGAAAAAAAAAAAGCCATTATGCAACCTTTGAAAAAACAAAAAATATAATAAAATAAAGTGTTGAAACTGACCGGCCTGGTTGAACTCTTTCCCAGCACGCATGAGACAGGTGTGTGCCTTCCCCAGTTAGGCTTGAGCTGACCAATTCAATGAAGTATGGACCACACAACTCCGTCTCCCTTAAAGCATGAAAATGGAATGTTTCATTTCAATTTTCAACGGCCACATTCAAGCACAACCCGAACAAGAAAAATAATAATAATGTAGATTAGTTTAGCTAGTGAAGCAGGATACCTCTCTCCAGCCTTTCAGAGTAAAAAATTCTAGTTGTACCTCAAGGAATATCTCAATTACTAAGAATGAGCCTTAGATGATCTGTGAAATTTTATAAATTACAAGCTAAAGAATTTAGGGATTTTTTTAGATAATAATAATTCAAACATTTTCAAGTTAGTTTTAACTTACTCGAGATTAATTATTTTAAAGTAATTGTAAAAGTGCACTTTTAACATTAATTTGATGTGTATTTAAAAAATAATTTTTTAAATATTAAATTTAAAATTTGAATTATGAATCTTATTAATTTATAAAATGAAATTTATTTATTTATAAATCCAACCCTCAAAATTGTTATAAGACTAATTAAGAGTAGGGACTATGTACAGTCTTGACTTGGCATTACTATATAATCCTAACCGCGGTATATTTTTCATCCTTTAAACAAAACTAGCAGTTTGCACCTGTTCTGCAGGGTGTTTGCATTTTGCAATATATATATATATTTTTTCAAAGAAAAATATATAAAAAAAATTAAAAGTAAAAAACATACTTTAATGTCTAACTTTAATTGTTTTATTTTAACTTTTTATTTTTTCAAATTTCTATGAGTCAAAGTTTCTGTAATTGAGCAAACTGTCATTGCTGGTGTTATGAGCATTTTATAACTCATTTGGAAGAAAATTTAATGTGGTTGCTGCCAACCTGTACACGCAAACCTTGGTTTTGCCTAAGAGGTAGCCATATTTTGGTTGAACAACTGGCTACACTTTCACTATTTGTGTAAATGTGGAAGATATTTTGCACTTTTTCTTCGTTGTTAATTATCAACTATACTCTTTAGAAACCTTTAAAGGAAAATAAAAGAAAAGAAAAATTCAAAGACAGGGTGGAAAAGAAATCTTATAAATGAACAAAATACTCTCAAAAAGTACAGAGAAACTACAAAAATACCGCAACTCAACAACTTTATAGAGATAAACAAGACCAAAAAAAAATACTGTAACATAATTCATCTTAGACAAATAATATTTAGTTTAATCATTAATAAAAATAATCTCTTAATGTAAGTTCACGTTCACCATTAATAATTAAATAAAAATACAGTTCATATGAGATCAAATACACTCTACTTTTGCTATAAAAATAAGGTGGGATCTTAACCAATGAATGGTTGGATCAAGTGGCAGGTGGGTTGTTCCAGTTTAAGTAAGGTCTCGAATTCGAAACCTTGTGTACACAGCAGTTTTCGTTGGGAGACCCACCAACTATTCTAGTGTGCCACAGCTAGTCGAGTCCGGAGAAGTCAGGGTAAAGCTCCGGATACCGGACGGAAAACCAAAAAAAAAAAATAAGGTGGGATCTTATTAGATAGAAAGAGAGAAAGAGGCCATGTTCTTTCGATTTAGATATGGCATGTAATCTACGGTCCAGATTTTTCGTTTCACTGTCGCCCTTGATCACGTCATCATTCTTTCCACGTTAACATCTGACCGTCCGATCTCTTCATCCTCTCCGCGTACTGGACTATTTATAAAGGGTGAATGTACTGCACCAAGTCGTCGTCCATAAACATTCCGAGCAAAAGAGAAACAGGATATATACAGAGCCTTTTCTTCTCGACGCTGCTCCTTTTGATCTCGAAAATGGCTTCCTCAACCTGTGTCTATGCCATAGTTTTCACATTCCTGGTTGTCGGTGCGATGGCTGCGTCAGCTCCTGCCCCTACTCCTTCCCAGGCGCCTTCTCATTCAACCCTGGTGCCTTCTCCTTCCCCCTCTCGCTTGCCAGCTCCAGCTCCATCTCCTTCGAAGAGTACTCCGCCAGCATCTTCACCTACCCCGGTTTCTCCTCCTCACCATGCTCCGACTCCATCGAAGACTCCGTCGCCAACACCATCGCCAACTTCTCCTTCGCAGACAACCCCTCCTACTACTGAGGTTCCAGCTCCGCCGCCATCTAACGCCATTGCCAACCGATTTACTGTTGCTAGATCCGTTGCTTTCATTGTGATGGCTGCCATTTTGGTGATGTAGATCAACCGTTTCTCAGAATAATTCTTCCTGTTGATTATACTTTCATGTTTTTTTTTTCTAAAATTTAGTGCTTTTGATTGATCACTTTATTTGGAGCTTTATTTGAGGGATTTGTTTCTTTCCATTATGTCCTTGTTTGTATCAGTATGGTCATGCCTACATTCTCTCCACTCTTTAGTTTATTGTTATTGGAATCCTTGCAACCATACCAGCCCAATTTTGTAAGGTTTTTGTTTTTAGTTTTAATTAGAAAAATTTAGAACACTGAATTAAAGTAAAAAATTTAACAAATTAAAAATTTTTAATTTTAATTATAATTTTGATAATTTATATTTAATGAGTTGTCAATGCTTGTCTGCAATTTTAGCTTTAAATTGTCTTTTTTTTTTCCGTTGTTCAAATTTAAATAACCAAAATTTAGGGGTGGGGCAAATTTTTCATAATTGAAAAAAAAATTTGAAAAAACAAAATCGTAATGGTAGAGAGGGCTTGACTAGATTTTGGAGTTATTTGATTAAAAATCAAATCGTACTGATTTTAAACGATTTGGGATTTGGTTGCTAAGTCTAAAAATTAATGATTAGGGTAAGTATAATAAAAAAATCCAAACCAAAAAAACTTTTATATAAAATTTTTAATATTTTCTAAAATTTTTAAAGATTTCCTAGTCACTTTTCACCAAATTATTTATTTATTTAGATAATTTTTAATATTTTAGTGATTGAAATTAATAAAATAATAGTTAAAGAATTCAAAAAATACTAAAAAATATAAAAATATATTTTTAATTAAAACTAAAACCGATTTGAATGCTTACTCTTAGAAGTGTAACCAAAATTGATAAAATTCATTATTTTTATTTTGTTTAATGGTTATTAAAATTTAAAATCTAAAACTTTGGTTAACTGGTAATTTGATTTCTCCGTGCTTACCCCTACCAAAATTAGACCCTAAGGGCATGCTCAATTAAAGCGCCACTTTACCAACAAAGTTTTTAATGGAAAAGAGATTTGAAAAGCATTGTACAAAAAGTTGTTAAGTTTTATAACGAAAATTTATTAGAATTTTGTTGAGTTATTAAATTTATTGGGTTTGATAAGAAATCGGTGTAAGAAAAGTTAACAGAAAAAATTGTTAAGTGTGTCTAATATAAGGATAGTTATAAGAAATATTAATAGGGAAAATTATGAAGTGGGTCTATTACTGGGATAGTTCTAAGAAAAGCTTTTCCTTTCAAATTAAAATAGGTGGGAAGAAAGCTTTACACATTAGGAATTTTGTTGAGGAAAATAAGATTTAAAAATGTTACTTTTACTTTTTTTTGTTGTAGTATTAATATGTAAGAATACATAAATAATCTTATAATAAGATACAAAGTTTAGAATACTTTATAAAGCAAAGTTCCTTTCAACCAAGCACCCCTTAATGGCCTATTTGGTTAGGCCCACTTTACTAGAAAAAGTTTTTCATGTGAAAGTGGTTTGGAAAGTATCGTATAAAAAATTATTAAGTTTATTTTACAATTTTGTTAGGTTATTAATTTTGTTGTGTTTAATAGGAAATTATGAAAAAATTATTAAGAAAAGATATTAAGTGGGTCTAATATAAGAAAAGTTATAAGAAAACTTTTTTTTTTCTTTTTCAAAATAGGTGAGAAGAAATGTTTATGGGCTTTGAATTGTTTTAGTAAAAATAAATGCTCAAAATGTTACTTTTATTTTAATTTTATTATAATATTAATACGGAAAAATACATAAATAACTTTATAAGGGAAAAAGCTTAAAAAAATTAAGGGAGAATGTTAGCCTCCAACCAAACAGCCCCAAAGTTTTAGTAATGTTGGAAAAAAAAAATATTTAGTTAATTTTATTCAAATAAAGAAGTTTTAAAATCCATGTTATGTTTTGTAAAGCTATGCTAGTAGAACCAGATTAATTTGTTTTTGCCTAATGCATATAGGGTAATGATATACTAATAACCCCAACAAGGGGTTAAATGGTTAAGAATTTGAAATTTTAATTTAAAGATCTTAAGTTTGAGTTTTAAGTCAGGTGAAGATGGAATTGGAAATAGGGGATGACTATTTTCTCTTGTATGACACAGAATCAGATGTACTAAAAAAATGATATGCTATTAATCTATTAATATAATTTTTATTTGTAATTTTTAAATATTATTAGATGAATTAATATATTTAATATTATGAATTTTAAATAAATAAAAAATTAATTATTTAAATAAAAATTATGTAAAAATAAAAAAAATTAAATATTATAAATTTATTTTTTAATATTTTAAATAATGCAATTTATATTATATTTTTTTAATACTAAACTCTTTATATTTAAGAGTTATATTGAATTTTAATTAATTTAGAACTAAATCATATCTAACTTTATAAAATGTAAAATTCTCCTAACACCAATTCATTTTAGTCAAATGAAACTAGTCATTAGTCTCTTATTATATTATTAGTTTTAAATTTTAATCTTTATAAAATCATGACCCTTAAATTGAAAAAAGAAGGTCCAATCTCA